TTATGCCAGCACCACCTGAACAAATCCCACAACAAGCAGCACAGTATCCTGCTGCCCCAAGTGTAATAGAATCAAGTGGTTATTAAAATAGTGTCCCAGCTAAAAAACACCTGTAATGATTACTTCAGTTTTGATTTTATGAGTAGTCGACAAACCACTCCACTCTTATAATTCTTAAATTGACAGATCATAACGACATTCCATAAGTAACGACATTTCGTTCCCAAAACGTAAAAAACTCAAAAATTTTCCAAATAAAACTCACTGAAATCGCGATTGATAGGCTTTCTAATTCCTTAATAATTGAATATTATGATCTAATGACTAAAAAACCACGGATTTCAGTGGAAGCATTAAACACTGCTTACATCACTACTACTGCCATTGTATGTGTAATGATGTGTATTTTGTGAAGCTTTTGCAAAAACTCAGACCTTGCACATAAGATTGTTTTAATTCACTGAATAAAGAGTAAACTGTAAAGTACACTATAATATTCACCTTATTTTTTAGAACAACCAAAACATAAGAAGCGAAAGTACAGGATAATTAGCAAAGTCCCACAACTCAGCATACAATACGATAATACATGTCAAATTCAACATTATATTAAATTCGATTGGTACGCAAGTGGTCTACACATTAGTTTAATTTATAAGCAACTCACCATTGAAAAGAACTATTTAAACTAGCAACTTCATTCCATAAAAAATGAGAATCTGTGCACGATATTTAAAAAGGAGGCTCCCGCCAAAGAAAGCACTTCCTGAATATATGATCACAACATTCTTCATTTTCAGGGCTAGCTACACTGCAAATTATGATTTAGAATAATAACAGGCACAACTCGCTGAATTGAAAAAAACCTTAAGAATATTCATACATCACCCATAAATTCATGTTTAATTACAGATCGACATATCTCTACTACTCTTAAGATATGCTAGCTAAAATCTACAAATTTAATACACTGTGGTTCAACTGGGAAGTGGTGATGCACAGTATAGTGAAGACAGAAGCGATTATCCATCGTATTTTCTAATAATATTAATCGGTTCTACTTAAGAATTTTAATTGTATTTAGTCTCATATTTATGTTTTACCTATAGGTTAAAGTTTCAGCAAAATCACTTAAGTTGTGACCAACCAGATATCCTTTGCAACTATGAATTGTACTTTACTTTCATGAGTTATCAAACCTTACCATACCTTATGTTCTTTTTGTAAAATCTTCAAACACAGAGCAATTAAAATAATTCTCTTGCACAAATTTGTAAAATCTGCCCTATTTTCATTCATATACATTATGGTCGTACAAACACATTGCATAGCTGCAGCAGTTGGCACATCAAGAACCTATATCTTTCACAGTGAAAGCTAACAATATCCTTACATAGAAGGTTAAGACTAAAATTATTTCATCGTTTTAACTCCATCGGAAATAAGATCATTATGCTCTACATTAGTCACTTCTTAATGAAAGTCAGTAATGTATTCGTCAGCATGTTATTCACAGTCTTCATTCACAACAATGCGACTACTGTTCACATCAAGCGAAAGATAAAGGTCATGCAAAGTATCTAGTTATCAATTCATTTTCTGCTTATAATCTTTGCTATTTTGGATCTGATATTTTTATCAACCATTCCAGTTTACTTTCAGTAATTACAACTGCAGTACTCTCATAATTACTCGTAACAGCCTTAAACATTTAAATGAATGCAGAAATTATCAGCATCTTTCTTCCATATTTCGCATAGATGACTGAGCCTTAATAAATGCCCTTCTTTACTGCACTGATACAACAGATTCTACACTAATTGTACAGAGAAAAATCAAACTAGACCTAGTTTCTGAAATCAGCATAAAACCAAGATACTAGTCAAAAAATCATCATCAGCGACAAAACAAATTTATTACTGAAAACTTGGACCTCAAAGTACAGTATTTTAAAATCGATACTGCAGCAAACCAGTATCCGGTGGAAGTTCCATGATTATTTTTTGTATTTCACGAAACTTTGGATGATCTGCTCCTCCCAGTAAGCCAAGAATCGCACATTCACTGGTTGTCAAAATTGCGCCAGCAACTTCCATCTGTCGCAAAGCGAACATTCTTAAATGATAATTAAGATGCTTTCATAATGATAGCAAATTTGTGGATTTCGAAATTCACTGTTTTGTCTTTCTCAAATTTCACTGCCTTCTGAAAAAGAGTATACTAAATATTACAATTTGCAACATTTGTAAATAATACCTATCAGTCTGCGAGCGTGATGAAACAGCATCAACAACGACGTGAACATCAATCCCTTTATCAAGAATATCCAATGCTGTATGTAACACACATACATGTGCTTCAACACCACATAGTATTACAGATTTCGTAGACCCTAGATTTTCAGTTAAAGGAGGAATACACATGCTGAACTTTTTTTTTTCAAACACCGGTATGTTATGCTTCTTTAGTTCTAATTCTTCTACTGTATGTCCAAGTCCTAAAAGTAAAATCATGATGGCAACAAATTTAGATATCACAAAAATATGGAGAGGACTATAGGCTAGTTCTTTACGCTACACCGACCATACCATCAAATTCGAAGGTGAAGATATAATCATCCAAATTTGGCTTTCTATATAAATCCACACTCACTAACACATAAATGTGACTGCTGTTAATAAATGAACTATGGCACACTTAATACAACTAACTGTCTAATCAACTTCTTTCATTCAACTTACATCTAAATAACAAAAATTTCGAAATATTTACCCTTTGGATACTGTTCAGTTGCAATAACCTTCACATCCAGAAGTTTTGCAGCAACCACAAGACGTTTACTGATCTTAACAATTTCTTCGAAAAACTTGATACTTGGTCTGTAAATTTAAATAACAAGCTGAATGTCTTGTACAGGATAAATTACCACGATATACTGAGAATTTTAAAGCAGGTAAACCTCTACATAACTGAAGGAACCACCTGAACTTCTCCTGCATATCACACAGTAAAAGGACAGAATTGCCCGATGCAAGCCTAGAGATAGGACGAGACACCATTTTCACTTAATTCTTGAAACACGAAACACAACTCCAAGTGCCTGTAAATCTCCATAAGAAAATGCAAGTACGAAAGCCAATACCAACCACAATACAGAATACCTCCAAGTCAACCCTCTGATGAGCCCAACACAACCATTCCTGACAGCAAAAGCATGAAACAACATACCAACTTAAACACGCACATCAAGACTTTCTCTATTGTAATTCCGACAATGATGCTGGCACATCATCAGCAACAGTCATGTAAAGTACTTTGCTTGTAATCAACATCCACGAAACAATTATTTATTTATTAGGAAAACTGCATTGTCCAAATTTGAGAAGACGCTATTTGAAATAAATCATCAATTGACGAAGATTTCAGAAAACAAGAAATTAACACATGTAAATCAAAAACCAACACGAGATCAAGCATATGCCCACAAAAATGAATGGTCAATAACCATCAACTACAACGAGGACTACTAACACACCAGTGTGTAAGTAATTCGCCCCTAACGACTTAAAGTTAATAAGCATACACATGTGTTGCTAATAAATGAATTGTGGGCACACTTAATACAACAAACTGTCTAATCAACTTCTTCCATTCGCGACGCATCTTCTTCTGCTCCTACTAGGTTTGGTACGGGTTCATCTTTCTCACCAGAAACCGATGCAACTAACTCCTCCTCATCATCCGCAATGTCAAGACCAAGCTGAAAACGACAGATAAGAAGCACTGCGCTGATTGACCAGATAACTTTAACATGAATTCTATTTATATAGTACATACTTTGACCATACGATAAATCCTAGATGAGTGCAACTGTGGATCTTCAAGTGAGAAACCAGATGATAACAGAGCAGTCTCAAAGAGCAGCACTACCAAGTCTTTGACTGTCTTATCATTTTTATCCGCCTCGACACGCTCGCGCAAAGCCCTAAACTGAAGTAGTTAATCCAAACTTTTAATAACAGAAGCAGAAACTAAATCCATAGAGACTGCGTAATCATACTTTATAACAGAATGGTCCGGGTTTATTTCCAAGTGCTTCTTGGCAGTCATGTATCCCATTGTTGAAGCGTCCCTCAGTGCTTGTGCTTTCATTATTCTCTCCATATTTGCAGACCACCCATATTCAGATGTTACAATGCAACAAGGAGAAGAAACTAAGCGATTAGAGATGGCCACTTTCTCAACCTAAGAAAGCAATTTAAAACTTGTGAAACTGAAATATGAAAAGAGAACTAGGCCGATTGATACAGTATGAAACACAAACCTTTTTCTCCAAAATATCCTTCATGACTTTGCACAAATTCTCATACTTGACCTTATCCTCTTCGAACTTCTTTTTCTCCTCCTCACTTTCAGGAAGTTCAAGACCTTCTTTCGTGACAGAAACTAATTTTTTACCATCATATTCCTTTAGTTGTTGCACACAATATTCATCGATTGGATCAGTCATGTACACTACCTACAAAACCAAGTATTTTAACAAATATACATATCCACAGTTGAATATCAAAACCACACTAACTCACATACCTCGAAACCCCGTCTCTTTACTCGCTCAACAAATGCTGAGCTCGCAACAGCCTCCTTAGATTCGCCAGTGATAAAGTATATTTGTTTTTGATTTTCCTTCATGCGGCTGACATAGTCCTTCAACGACGTCATTTCCTCACTAGATGCTGAAGTATTGAAGCGTAGAAACTCAGACAACTTCTTTCGATTCGTAGAATCTTCATGAATACCAAGCTGAAATGCATGAATTACAAGATGTAATTGATACAAGATAGAAGAGCGCACAAACGAAGAAAGCAAACGACAAATGATACCTTGATATTTTTCGAAAACTGCTCATAGAACTTCTTGAAATTATCTTTATCTTCTGCGATCTCATCAAAAAGTTCCAAACATTTCTTGACAAGATTTTTACGAATGACTTTGAGGATCTTGGACTGCTGCAACATCTCGCGAGAAATGTTCAGAGGTAGATCTTCGCTATCAACGACACCCTTGATAAAGTTCAAGTAATCTGGCATTAATTCGTCGCAGTTTTCCATTATGAACACTCGTCGTACGTAGAGCTGAATATTAACATTGAAATGGGTGCTACATATGGACGACAGAAAATCACACATACTTTATAAATTTACTACAATCATACCTTAATAGCATTTTTGGTCTTCTTCATCTCAAATAGGTCAAATGGAGCACGTTGCGGTACGAAAAGCAGAGCACGGAACTCAAGTTGACCTTCGACTGAGAAATGTTTGACTGCAAGATGATCCTCCCAATCATTTGATAAAGACTTATAGAACTCTGCATACTCATCATTGCTAATGTCGTCCGGATTACGAGTCCAAATAGGCTTTGTCTAAAACAATAGTTTTTAACAAATAGAAATAAATTGAAGAAAGCCAAATAGTTTTACCTTGTTAAGCTCCTCATCTTCGTGATATTTTTCCTTGATCTTCTTCTTTTTCTTTTTGTTTTTATCTTTGTCTTCTTCTTCATCTTCTCCTACATCTTCTATCTCCCCTTCTTTCTTTTCCTTATCCTCGTCTTTCTTTTCTTCTTCTGCTTCATCATCAGATACCTCCTTGTCACGTTCCTTCTCAACAGTAAGCTTTATTGGATAACCAATAAACTGAGAGTGTTTTTTAACAATCTCCTTAATACGACGCTCCTCCAGATAATCTGTCTGATCTTCCTTGATGTAAAGAGTGATTTTAGTACCACGTGTAAGTTCAGGATCATTGACTTGTCTGATGATGAACGAACCTATCAAAAACTCTTCTTTACTATGTACTTATTACATCTTGCATGAACCTTAACATATAATAAAACTTCGTATGTATGAGCACGGAAAAAACCTACCTCCCGCCGAAGACTCCCACTGATAACAATCATCATCATTGTGTTTGGAGGCAACAACGACCTTATCTGCAACCAAGAAAGCTGAGTAAAAGCCCACGCCAAATTGCCCGATCATAGATATATCAGCACCAGCCTGGAATGAATGCAGTATTAGAGAAACAAAACAGAATAAAGAATAGATTGCCACGACCAGAGTGTACCTGAAGGGCTTCCATAAATGCCTTAGTTCCAGATTTGGCAATTGTACCCAAATTGTTAACAAGATCTGCTTTTGTCATGCCAATACCGGTGTCAAGAATCGTGAGAGTCTTGTCAGCCTATAACTTGGTAAATACAATATTCTGCTTTTAACCTGACATAATATAAAACGCCAATATTACCATTTTCTTATAAATCATTGTTATACAGTAAAGCTAGATGCAATGCGATACCTTGTTAGGAGTGATCTTGATAAACAACTCTTTTCCAGTCTCCAACTCAGCTGGTTCAGTGAGCGCCTGGTAGCGTATTTTGTCAAGTGCATCCGAAGAGTTAGAAATTAACTCACGCAGGAAGATTTCTTTATTGCTAAAACATATGCAACAATTAGCCAATATAACAAATGTGCTTTGAAATATAGGGAAGTAGAAACCTGTAGAAGGTATTGATGATAAGGCTCATCAACTGAGCAATTTCCGCCTGGAATGCAAATGTTTCGCCGTTTACTTCTTCCGACATTATTGAAACTGATCAACAGATGATACCAAAGAGAGAAACTGTATTGCGAGTGCTGAAATTCAATACCGAGGTCACAATCACCACTATATATTGCAAACGCGATCTCTATCCGTACTTGCTCCTGGCAAGCATAACTGATATCAAGCCTGGTTGGACAAACTGCAGCATGAATCAGTCCTACGCAAACGAAGCCAAACACGAAATAATAACCCCTTAGACCACCTAACCTAAGTGAACTAATAAGTACATGCAATAGCCTAAAAATCTCATTTCCTCTACCACCACTAACTGAGTAGCAAAACTGCTCCACCGATGTGCGTAAGACAGAGACAATGCCATGCGAGTTGGCATCCCTGCCCGTTTTATATGAGACCACCGATGGAATGTTCTCGAAGCACTCATAGGCGGAGCTAACGCCTGTTCAACCAATAAGAGTGAGCATGAGGTCAGCGACGGAAAGGAGTGCGAAGAACGTTCTAGAAGCATCGATGCAGGCAATTAGTTTGAAGAAGGATACATGATGCAGCGCTGTTCTGTTAGAGAGGGGGTGGGAGGGTTGTGTTAGTCAATGACGTTACATGTAGCAGCTGTATTAGCTTCAGTAGCAGGATGGAGCTGATCAGGTTAACTTGCATCACGTATGTTGTTGAGAATTTATGTACTCTAGTTGGGAGAGAAACGGTTGCTAATCCAAGTAAGCACTAACTTCACAGTCAAGAGAAATTTAGACAATAGCTGTAGCTTTTCTGTTGGAAATGATCAAGTTATAAGTATGGAATTGATTCAAGCTAAAGTATACAACAGATGTTCATCTACAAATTAGTAGTAGTGTGCATAAGTGACATATAGGTTCCCACTATTTCCCCCACTTGCAAGATCACTAGCAATTCTTGTTCAATATTCCCTACCCATGACGGTACCATTCCTCCACGTACTAGATTTGCGAATATTTGCTGCCTTCTGTTTCTGTAAAAATTATCGAAACGGGACTCTTTAGCGACGAAATGTCTTGAAAATCATTAGCAGTGTATACAAGTCGGACCGCATGTCATACTCTTGCAACAATTTAGCTGAAAGTAGCAATGATCCAACTTTATTGCCAGCAACAGAAAATCTTTGATTCCACATGAACAATGAGAATGAACAGAAATTGTGAGGGGATAAATTCCAATTAGCAAGCCTTACAATCTCTGGTTACAATGATATCCTTATGGAGGACTTCGTAAAATTCTTTATAGACAGAGCAAACATGCCACTATCATTATGAGATAAATAAGGAATGGGCGGATATTGAGTAAGAAATGAACGAATCATAACTGTTTTTGATCTAATTCGACTCTAAGACACCAAATATAAAGTCCATCGCTAAACACAATTATTCAGGGATGAACTTCAACAGTTTTAGGATACTATAAACTGTAAATATAATAATTCGACTCATTAATTTTTGCACAAAATATGAAAAATTAGAAATATATTTCTTCAACGTTCGCAATCAGCATACATTACTAATAAAATAGTAAGATTAGAAGAGTATTCATGACTTTAAGAGAAAATTTACAGTAGGACTGACTTTTGTGACGTTATGGTGGCTTGGTATTATCTAACAATTAAATCAATGGCATAATTCATGGTTTAAGAAGACAGTAGATGATCTCACTTCATAACTGATCAGTAATATGGTATTTAAAAAATTTGTTGGCAAATTTAATTAGCCATGACTGATTTTCACGCATTCAATTTTTCACCAATAGAAAGTCAAATGCATCGAGCAAAAGAGCTGTACACTTCATGTCGCCTACATAAATTAGTAATTTTGCATCGGTAGTATTGGTTCAGCATTTTCGTTGGGATCAGACCCTTCACTGAAAATCACATAAAAAACTAGAAATCACAGAATATATTAGGAAACCATACATTTCAGCAAATACTTTTGTTAGTAACAAACAACAAAAATGACCTGATCTTTTTCTCAACTTCAGATTGTCCTGCTGACGCCTTTACATCAGTGGTTTGAGACAGTTCTGTTAAGGGAACTTTTGAACTCGGCTTCTCATCAAGAGGTATTCTGAAACTTAATACTCAATCTCAATTTTCTTGCTTGTTCTTTAACGATTTAACAAAACATTAAGGGATACTGGTGTGATTACCACCTGTCAAAATTAGCACGATCAATCTGCGAAGTTGTAGTAAAAATTATATCATCATCATTTGATACAAGTCGCGCTTTGCGTTTTGATTCTTCAAAGCTTCCAGATCTCTTACATAATTCCGGACGAAGTTTGGGCAACTTCTCTGAAAATTTAAGAAATTGCTTTCTTTGAGTAGTTGTTAAGTGAGGGACTGATTGATTTGAGGAGTTATTTACGGAAGTTTCAACTTTCAACACTGTGAAACTCCAAAACATTAGCAGTCAAATCGTGATTCCAAAGAACATAAAACTGGTGTACTTACTTGCATATTTTACACCTGGTGTAGTCATTCTCGACAAATACTTTTCAGCCATTTTCAAAGAAGGCATCAATACTTGAAGAACTGAATTAGACAAAGCACTCGTGTTAGTGATCTAAATACATATTTCCTCAAGTACATTATGATAACCTTATTGCCACTGGAAGATGAGTTCACATACGTTTTTTATAATTATGAAATGATGAAAAAGAACATGATGAATATAAAAAATGAAACATCTTCATCAACTTGTCATTCAAAGACGAATTTAAGAATAAAAACGATGGATACATTTTCGCAATCCATCAATTCTTGATGCACTAGTTTCACTGTTTCTTTATCTAGATCTTGTGAAAATTTATCGCCATGAATGCCCTCAAATAAACATGCATCCCAATTAATGATGTCGTATTCTTCCATTATACATCTGAAGTAGTCAAAAGCTTATGCATGTGTATATATAGAACTTATATATAGAATTAACATTGTAAAACAATGTTAATTCCACGATAACAATAAATATAATACCGAAAAAATATAATGCCTTTATATCAAGAGTTAAATGTACTTCACAGTAAGAAATTAACATTTTGAAATCATTCTAAAGTGAGTGTAAGAGAAATGAAATTAAAGGACATTCAAATAATCATTCGTGAAAATCAATGTTTCATCAGTAATAATGGATATATTTTCTGAGAACCTGTAAACAAGAAATGAATTGCCACGAGGAAACAAAGGAAGAAAAGCACCCAAACGATTAGATTCCATTTTCCATTGCTCAAGACTTTTCCGAACACATTCTCTACTGTTTTTTCGAAATTTAGATGGGCTCAAAGAAGGTGATAAACAACGCAATGATTTTTTCTGAAAAAACTTTTACCAACTCCTCAGTCTTCCCTAATAGAATCTGCATTGTTAGTATAATAAATTTTTGATGAAACAATGACATAATGAAGTAATGAATAACTTTTAAACGCTGCGTGATAAACATCGATCTTTCCTTTGACCTATATCTCATTCGTTTTAGAGCACCACTCATTAGACCTGTAAAAATAAAAAAGATTTTAATAACTTTCTTCAATAGTAGAAACTTTTGTGCTAATCAACTGCTCAGAAAGGGTGAGATTTAATAAGTGCTTCATCATAATTCAAATCGAGTGCTTACCGGTTATAATTATTCAGAACGCTATGCAAAATTTGGTAGTAAGATGTCTTTTCTATATCTTTTACACATTCTATATTGCAAAAATATATAAAGTGTATAACACAAATATGGAAATACCAGTTTTTGTATGCTGATTTTCAGCAAACTTTCGAGCATTGAGTGGTATGGCAGCAAGTGTGAGCACATCACAAACTAAAGATGACTTCAACTGCAAATCAAGTGGAGAATCGCTGAAAGTAAACTACTACTGAATAAAACTTTTTTCATGTTTTCATTTTATTAGAAAAAATAAACGAAAGTACAAAAAAACCATGACCTTGAGATATAAATGATGACTGAGAAAGTGGAAAAATTAAGGAAATATAATTAGAACTAACCATGTTAAACTTGGAGAGAGATTAACTTCCAATAACCATGGTTTGAGACTAGCATCAATGAGCACATCAAAACCAAATAATTCGAAACAACACTTTGAATAAGGAACAACGTTTTTACAAGCCGCTGCAATCTGTCCTTGTACAGAGAATAAAGCTTTCAATATAACATCTTCCACTCGAACCATTAACACTACAATGCACATTTTTCTTTTATTTATATCAAGGAGTACTAAAATATATATCTAAGATTATAGAAATGATAATTATCACTATATTTAAATCCAGCTTTCACATGGCATTTAAGAAGAGAAAACAAGATGAAAACATGATGAAGTAATAAACATAGCTTATATCTTATAGCTATTTTTGAGAAATATCTATAGATATCTTATTTATATCATGGATACCTGATTCTGCAAAACATTATTTTATTGAAAGAAAAAAAGAAATAATACAATTTGTGTCTATTCCGCTGCTTTGCAGTTTACGAAGTAAGGCGCCTAATGTCCATTTATGACCCTCATCTTCAGCATCTGCACTTTCATTTCTGAAACAGAAAATTTTTCTACAATTTTCTTACCATGCAATTGAGATACCAAATATTGGCAAATATTAATTATACTTCTCCAACTTACTTAATGAATTTGCCATTGTTTTTGTTGAGAGAATAATTAGTAAGATGAGAAAAGTGCTGTTCATAACTTTTTGCCATACTGCAATACTTTTCGGAGGCAAACCGTGTGAGACCTTCGCTATACATGTAAGCTACCAGTGGGTAGAATGATGTCACCAATACATATAATCTAAAATCGAGTAGACCTGGTGAGTTTTTTCATCTTTTTTAAACATTCTTATTTTTAAGACACCGTTTTTGAGGATATTCTTATTCCTTCACATAACTTTGCAATTCGATTCCATAAGAATAGGATCTATGAGAATACGAAAATATTAAATGATTAAGATGAAAATTCATTAATTACTGATTCATATTTCAAGATTTCTTATAGTAATACATGACTGTGTTACGCATAATATAAGGATGAACAAATAAACAGATTCCCCTTATAAGAAAAATGAATGCTGAAATC